GGTGGAGTCTTTATGAATGAGATTCCCTAATCCTATTAATGTCTTATAAAAGACGTGCCACAGAGTTCCCTAGCCCCTGTACCATGTGAGGACACGGCAAGATGGCCCTAGCTCTGAACCAGGAAGAGGGACCTGACTCATATACAATCATGCTGGTACCTTGATCTTGGGCTTTCTGCCTTTAGAACTATGAGAAATGAATCTTCGTTGTTTATAAGCTACCTGATCTATGGTAGTTTGTTACAGCAGCTTGAATGGACTAAAACACTAAGTAATGTATTGACTCTGCCCAATGCAATAGAAAGAGTGTGTGCTCACTGGGACAGCACACTGGAAAGATTGGGAGAGGGTCATCTGTCATCTGCCTCTTGTTAAAGGTCAACCTTGGCAGCAGGCTCCTGCTCCATCCCAGCTCCTGCCTTTATTCAAGGAGATGTCTGTTCCAGAAGTCGCCCTCATTTCCAGCAACCTTCCCTTCCTCCCACCTCTCATACTCTCTTCCATGGCCGTCTCTTGGACATTTCCATTGTCTGCAGCTGCTCCACCTTGAGATCACTTGGGGCACAACCTCTTACCTCTCCAGCCTGCTGGGGTGGTTGCACCCAATCTCAGCTTGTTGGGTCTCAGAACACCTCTATTCCCTTGGGCCTCCCCAGTGCTCATTTCCTAGCTTGGAGCCCACACTCCAATATTGCAACCACCCTCTTGCTAACAGCCACTTTCCAATGTGTTCAACATCAACCTACAGTAAAAAATATAATTTACATATGACATAGGGCCCATCCACATATGTATTTACACACACAGATGCATACATGGGTCTCTCCTAGCTTTAACTCGATCATAGTTACTTAAAAATCTGATCCCAGACATCAGTTCTTATAACTTTAGCCCCGTGTCTCTTCTCATCTTTACCAAGATGTCGCAAGAGTGGTCTGTATAAACTGTGCTGTTTCCTGGGGCTGCTGTAACAGATCACCACACACTTGGTGGCTTAAAACAGCACAGATTTATTTTCTTACAGCTCTTGAAATCAGAGGTCTAAAATCAGGGTTCCCTTGCCTTTTTCATTTTCTGGAAACCACCTACATTCTTGGGCTCATGGCTGCGTCACTCCCACCTCTGGTTCCACTGCCACATCCTTTTTTCAACTTTGACCTTTTTAGGAGGACCTTGGTGATTATATGGAGCCTTTCAGATCCTCCAGGATTACCTTCCCATTTCCAGATTTCTAACTTAATCACAACCTCAGAGTCCCTTTTACAATGAAAAGAAACATGTTTCTAGGCTCTGGGGATGGGGATCTGGGGACATCAGTGGGAGGGCACTATTCTGTCTACCCCAAGAGCCATCTGGGATTTCCTCAATTTCCACTTACTTTTCAACCTTTTCCAACCTGGCTAGTGTCCCAACTCACCATCCCAAGTGTCTCTCAAAAGGTCCTTGACGTCCTCTGTGTTGCTGAAAACCAGGGGTAGTTCTAATTTGTCCTTCTTCCTGACCCCTTAGCAGTTTCTGACATTGTGGGCCAATCAGAATGAGGTGTGGGAAGCACCCTGAGGTGTGAGGGCAAGTGGCCCGTCTTCATGATGGCATCTTCCACCATTACTCTAGAGTACATCTGGCGTGGATGTGATCAGCTGTAGAACATACTCCCACCACTGCCCTTGACCTATCAATCCTCCATAGGCTGCACAGTGTCTAGACTTTCTTCATTGGTTAAAAAGCTTTGGTCAGATAACTGTAGGTAAAGGGTTCTTTTCTAAACAGTTTTATTTACCCACCAAAAAGTGCACCTATCACAAACGTGTAGCTAGGTGAACTTTCACAAAGTAAAACATTATATCCACCCTTCAGATCGAAAAAAAGTTTTGCCAGCTCATCCTCCGGTCCCCTCCCTGTCACGAACCCCTCTCCTCCCAAAGGTAACACTTTTCTGGGGAAGCCTGGTGGTTTTAATGTTTTTCTTTTAAATAGACTTTCATTTGTCGAATAGTTTTAGGTGCATGACAAAACTGAATGGAAGATACAGAGAATTCCCAAATACCCGTAGTCCCTATGCAGGCACAGCCTCCCCCCTGCCCCCCTGCCCCCCTGCCCCACCCCTGCTATCAACATTCCCCTTCAGAGTGGTAGATGTATTACAATGGATGAACCTGCACTGACACTTCGTAACATGGACAAAGTCCATAGTTTACCGTGGGTTCCCTTTTGGTGCTGTGTGTTCTGTAGGTTTTGACAATGCGTCACAGCTTGTGTCCATCCCCAGAGTATTGTGCAGACTAGTTCTCTTGCCTTGAAATCCTCCGTGCTCCCCCTGCTCATCCCTCCCTTCCCCCAATCTTCTGATGACCCCTGTCCTTTTTTTCACCATCGCCATAGTTTTGCCTTTTCCACGATGTCATGTCGCTGGACTCGTACAGCCTGTAGCCTTTTCAGACTGGCTTCTTTCACTGTCTTTTTGCAGATTCATAGCTACTTTCGTTTTAGTGCTGAATAATATTCCATTGTCTGGACAAACACATAGGAACTGGACTGACTCTAGAGCAGATTTTACTGGCGGGGTATCTTCTCTGTACCTCCTGGTGTTAGAACTGACACACTGGCAGAAGGGCCCAGAAGGCTTCCAGAGGCCATTCTCTGCAGTGAGCTTCTGCCTCCAGAACATCGCTCTCAGAATACCAGTATGGCGTGCAGTGGGGCTCAGGTCACTGCAATGCACTCAGTCATGTTTTGATGTAAATGACCCCGGGGAGATCAAGTTCTGTTCACAGGGGACAGACTGCATGACAAATAGAAGAAAAGCAATGGCCCAAACAGCACAGATTTCTTTTCCACCCATGTAACAGATTGTGGAGAAAGCTCAGAGAATCTTGTCCCTGAATCTGGGACCCAGGCCCCTTCAGTCTTGTGCCTCTGACACCCCCACAGCCTTCTCATTTCCTTCATCTAGTTAGAGTAGCCCTTGGCCGGTTAGACAAGCCATGAAGCTGAAGTCGTGCTCCCAGGATTAATTTAACATCTTAGTTGGCGGGTCATCTGGCGTGGTCCTGGTGAACGATGTGGTAATGGATGGATGAGAAAGTTTTATTGATGAGTTTGAAGAGGTCCAGGGGTGGAGATACCAGCCTGGGGAGTTTTGGGGGGGGTGCTGGCCTGGAGCTGCATTAGGGTGACTCTGAGTTCCTGTTATGGCTCATAAAGGAGGCTGGAACTTTCACAACTCATGGTTTATCAAGGTCGTCCCGTGTGCCCTGCGGGAAGTTGCTGACCTGCCGTTGGACCACCTAGGGGTCTCTGCTCAGCCTCTCTCAGTGGCTGGTGGGGAGCACAGTGAGAGTGAGGACATCATTCCAACCAGCAGGACCCTGACTTACAACCCCAGGGCCTGATGTCAGTTTTGCTGCTTGAGCTAGGGTCCGCTTTTCCAAGGGAAACCAAATCAGGGTAGCTGATTTCTTGGCCGCCTTCTTTCAAGTGTGGGAAGGAAAAAGGGAGTTGCGGTGAGAGACTTCGGGTCTGGGTTACATGTAAAGTGGGCACTCCCACTCTTCGTCTTCAAGTTGGCAAGTGTGACCATCCTATGGCAGATGTCACAGTCCCTTTCATTGTGACTTCTGGGCAAGGTCAGGGAGCTGCAGTGGGTGCCCTTTGCAGAAAACCATGGTCAGAGAGGATTTTGAAAGTTCGTCAGGGAGGACTTCAGCCCAGGCCGTCTGTGTGGGAATAGGGGAGTTCTGAAACTGCCTTCCTCTGCAACCCCTCCACCCCCTCAGAGGCCACGGGCTGCCAAAGCTGGCTCCCACACACCTCACCAGAAAGTCCCTGGCTCCCTTCCCAGCTGCCTTGCAACTGACCTCATGAGGTGTGAGAAGGAGGAAAGGAATCTACATTTCAGATGAACCTTCCTTCCTCCTTTCTGAGAAGTGGTCCAGGCCGCCCACACCTGCCAGGCCATGCACACAGCTCCTCAGAGCCCAAGGCTCTGTAGCTTGTCCAGCCTGCATGAGAAGTGGCCCGGGACCCTGGGATGAGGAGCTTGTGTTAGTTTTTTCAGGGCTGCTGTAACAAAGAACTGCAGGCTGGGATGGCTGAAAACAGCAGAAATTCACTCCCTGAGAGCTCTGGAGGCCAGGAGCCTCAGATAAAGGTGTGCCAGGGCCAGGCTGCCTCTGGAATGTTCTACAGAAGAACGTTTCCTTGCCTTTTCCAGCTCCTGGTGGCTGCTAGCAATCCTGGGGTTCCTTGGCTTTTAGATCACTCCAGTCTTTACACGGCTGTCTTCCCTCTGTCTCTTCTCTTCTTATAAGGACATCATCACACCTGTCAAGGACCAGCCTACTCCATTATGACCTCATCTTAACTAATCACAACTGCAAGGACCCTATTTCCAAATAAGGGGCACCTGAGGTTCCCAGTGAACATGAACTTTTGGTGGGACATCATTCAACCGGTGACAGAGCCCCACCATCCACCCCTTCCCCTCCCTTCAGAGCAGGCCCTTAGCTCGTGCAGGGTGCCCTGCCTTGCTTTTCTTTCCAGGGCCCAGCAGTGGTCACCCCAAAATAAAATGGCATCCTGTCCATCCAGGAAGGCACGGCCTAGCTAGAGGGAGATCAAAGAACCCAAATCTCTTCAGGGACAGGCATCTCCATGTCCAAGGGATACCCACTTGGGATTTTTTCCCAGCTGCATAGAAATGGTTCAGGATTCCTTGGCTCCTGGCCAATCCCAAAGGGAACGAGACTTCTGAGCCTTCCAACGGGCCATTCCAGACCCAAGGTTTACAACCCAGATGGGAAAATTGGCACCTTTTCCTTTAGCTTCACCTTGAGCCCGTTTTAGGGTCTTCTCCATGGGAGCTGCTAAGGAAGCTCCGTCCCCCATCTTCCTGACTGACCAACCCCTTCTCTGGGGGGAGCTGAGGTCCTCCTCTTCAGAAAGCTGGGAAGAAGGGGTGAGTTCCTGGGCCTCTAGTAACCCAGCTGAATATTTTCCAGGTTATCTAACCAAACTCCTGCAAAACCACACCGCCTATGCCTGTGATGGGGACCATTTGAATCTACAGTGCCCTCGGCATTCTACGATAAGTGTCCAATCGGCATTTTATGGGCAAGATTATCAAATGTGTAGTGCCCAGCAGCCTGCCTCCCAGAGGGAAGACGTGGCCTGTGTGGCTCCCACCACATTGCAGGTACCGCCCTTTGTAGATGCTTTAAGATGATGAAACGGTTCTCTCTCCCTCCCTCTCTTCCTCCCTCCCTCTCCCCATCACTCTCTCTCTTTCTCTGTATATATGCTTGTGATTACATAGTTCACTCACAGCAAACCTGATCCGTGAAAACCTCAGTTCATACGAATCACCAATTTCACGGGTGAGCTATTTGCTTCTCAGAAGGATTCATCACCAGACAAGTCTAAATGGAATTCCTCCTTCCTGGAGAGCTCCCTTAACTAAGACACGTGCAGTATGAATTTATCCAGAGGCGTAGTCCCCACTGTGGTAAAGCCAAGTACAGTCAAGTTGGGCTTTGAACTCCGGGACCACCCTTCCCGTCAATACCCCAGCAGAGAGGGAAAGGTGGGGATGCTTTAATGGGAACCACAGGTCCCCGTGGGGCTGACGGCCAAGGTCATGATCAGCTTCTCAGAGAAGTACGGAGGAAGGGAAACCTCAGTCACGGTCGTTCTTCACAAAATGGTCTTCTTCTCCAGTTGTAGATGAGGACGTTATTCTGGTTTTAAGCTACTTTGGGCAGCCTCTGCTGATTTGTTCTTCTGTTGGAGAGTACCAGGAATTTGCAGAGAACACCTAATCTTTCTTTCTTTCTTTCTTTCTTTCTTTCTTTCTTTCTTGTTGGCATTAAGGGAAAGATCTGGTATAGAAGGAGGCCAGAGCCAATATTTCAATGGGGATTTTAGATTCCTCCTGGCTCTTTGATTTTTTTCAGCCACAGGAAATATGGGTGAAGATAAATTGTTGAGGAAGACTAAGGAATAATGGAATTAGCATAAGGCTGTGTAGCTCTCCCTAAGGCCCAAAGAGAAGCCCAAATAGTATGGTCATGTAAGGATTTTTTTATTTCTCCCACCTGTTGCTTCCATTCCAAGCATCTTAGTATCTGGGCAGTCATGTGGTTGGTAAAGGTACCTGCTGAGTAGCCAAAAGAATGTGTCTGAGTGATTTCCCTCTCAGAGGCCACGTGTTGTTTCCGGAGATGAAGTTACTTTCCTTGTGTCCCCAACCCCATTCCGTAGCCCTAGTGGCCTGTGCCCAGTCCTTACCCAACTTCCTTCCCACCCAGCCCCGGCACCCAGGCCATCTGCTGCTCTCCCGGGTGCATAAGATGAGCACTGGCCGGTGCCAATAGGACAGGAGTGCCTGTTCTGTGACGGAGTGACCTCCTGGCACCCTGAGCTCCCACGCACAGGTGCCGCCCTCCCCGCCCAGCATGGGTGCCTGGCTCTGCCAGGCAGGCCCGAGGGAAGAGGATGTTTCCATAGCCAAGCAGACAAGTTAGCATTTGTGAACCCGGCTCTGATGTTGTGCAGAAGGTTTGTCTGCCAGAGGCGTCCCTGTGCGCTGCTCTTTCATCCAGAGATCAAGAGAGCCTCTATGTCGTGTCTTTTGACTGGGGCCTGGGAGCTGTGGCAAGGGGCTTCCTCTCCTTCGGAGGGAAGGTGCCCGATGTGGGAGACAACAGGTGTCAATGTCCACCCAGAAGCCCCTCAGCGGATCAGGCCCATAACTGAGGGTGACCAGGAAGGTCCCCCCCATGCGGTTTTCAGCCGTGACACAGTTCGGGAACAGCCCTGCCTTGAGTCCCGAGCTGTGGCTGTGATACGTACATTGGAGCCCCCCAGGGGCTGAGTCATTTCATGATGACCCTCGGCCACGAGAACGTGTCCCGTCGTCTGAGGGTCCCTAGGGTTTCCCCTGGACGTGTTTCCTGATTTCATACACGTCCGCTGGACCCCTTGAGGGACTACCTGGTAGGGCCACCGAGCTGCGCCATGAGCTACTAAGAGAGCACGGTGACTCGGACAGCCTCGTGACTGCGCCAAATTCAGTCCAATGGGAATAAGTAAATTCTTGGGAAATGTTCACCGGACTTGGTGTCCTTTTAACAGACCCCGAGTGTAAGTCTTCTGTGACTGTTGTGGGCTCCATTTGGAAATGGAAGAGGGGCAGTGAGGTGCTAGGCTCCTCTGGGACCCCATGTAGGGTCCTCTGTGAGCTTCTTTGGACCAGGTTCATTCACAAAGGAGTGAGCTGCCCGGAAAAAAATTGAGAGCAAGAGACAGTTGAGGGAAAATGTCTAAGCCCAATGCTCACCAGCAAAGCCTGAGCATTCCACAGAGAAAATCGCTCCAAAGGGAACACATGGGTCCTGTGTCCTTGAGGTTGGCAAGGGTGGGAACCAGCTTTTCAGTTTTTATCAGTTGGCCCGTGTTTGGGTTGGGTCTCCAAGGTGTCCCCCAAACACTGAGTAGTTCTCTGTGGTCTGTGCTCGGCTGTTTTCTGCAGCTGGAGAGCTCTGGCTGTGATTCCTGACCCCCACAGCGCTCTCGCAGCCCTCCCGGGAGGGACCTCCGAGGCCCGTCTCACCCGCTCTCTGAGCTTCTCAGATCCTGCACACGTTTCCTGGGGTCTCCGCGATGTGGAACTTTTGCCAAAACCGTGCACAGCACTTCCAGCTGAGATAGATGGGGGGCCGGTGTTCCGATGGGGTCTGCCACGGGTGGGTCAGGTGTCTTATTCTGGGAAAGACGGGGAGACCGGGAGCAGACCTGATCACGCCCGTACGCGAGCTCTCGGCTTAGACCCAGCTCAGCGCAGCTCGAAGGTTCTTTGGGTGGACACCCAGGCCAGACAGACGGAGCCCAGAGCCGCCAGGGTGTGGGATCTCCCAGATGCTGTGTGTGGTTTTCAAGCCTATCCCTTTTCTACCCCCTCATTTTAGAAGGTGCTGGACGAATGCCAGAACCAGCGGGCCTGCCACCTCCTGGTCAATAGCCGTGTTTTCGGACCTGACCTTTGTCCAGGAAGCAGTAAATACCTCCTGGTCTCCTTTAAATGCCAACCTAGTAAGTAACGTCTGAGGGGCACAGTGTGTTTCGGGTGTGGCTTCCCTGTTTCATTCACAGCCCTCACGGGGGATCTCTGCCAGAGGGTGGTAGTCCCACTTAGAAACTTGTTAATAGAGATGTCCTACCTGTTTTTGTAATAGTTTATGCGTATTTGTGTGTGGGTGTGTATGTGTGTGTGTGTGTGTACCCATATACCCACGTTCATTCTTACAAACCCCTGAGTTTAAAGAATCCTTCCTGGTATGTAAACCCCAGTTGTACCCATGCTAAAGCTATCAGGGGTGGCAAGAGGCTATAATTGCTTTCCCCCCAAACGAAGAGCCACTTAGGAGGCCCACCGCCAGCTGCGGGGCTCCTTGCTCTCACGAGAGGGCACAGCTGCCCCCAGAGCCCCTGGTTCCAGATCTCTATGAACTCACCTCTTTGCTTTCACTAAAGCAGGGGCTCCGTACCCAGTGTCTCTTCCTCGAGGAGAAAGAAAGTGGAAAGGTCTCTGGCTGGAGCAGCCTCCTCCACTCTGATTCTCGCCTTTCTCTCTCTGATGACTTGTATCACCTGTAACGCAAGTTAGTTTTGTGATCAACCCATTGCCAGCCAAAAGGAACTGCTTTCTGGGGAGCAGGTCACACTCAGGGGCATGGCGGGTCAGCCCAAGAGAGGCCACAGGCAACGGCAATGTTAGAGGCTCCTAGGAATCCTGGAAAAAACGTGTTGAAAAGAAAGCAGTGTTATAGCAACAGCGTTTAACCAAAGAATTATATACATGGCCATCCCAACATATCGTTTTTGGGTTTTTGCCTTTTGTTCTCTGTGGGTTTCTGCCTCTCGAGCCCAGCAGCTTCCCATTGGCAGCCAGGGTGCCGGGGGTGGGTGAGGCTTCGGGTCACACGCGTGTCGTGTGTGGTCTCCAGTGCGCACTTGCAGAGAAAGCATGAGATCCTCTCAGCAAATATCCAGCTTTGCGTCTTTAACCCTTTCCTTGCTGGGGCCCGGATACCTCTGAACGGCCCCTCTGGCTCTTCCCCCATACTGGGTGTTCAAACGCATGTTCACGCTCACACACACATACACACCACCACACACTTATAGGGTATGCACAGTCGCTCGTACATACACAATAGCACGCCTGTGTATGCTGTCACATGCATAGACACTGTCGCACACATACTCATGATCACAAAGACCCAAAGCAGACCCCAACTTTGCACCCTGGCCGGGGTCTCCCCAGGAAGTCAGGAAGTCATGGCAACTCCTGCCTCACTCGGACACATCCCTTCTAGATCTCTGTGTTCTCAGTCATGTCCTTCCCATGGCTAAGTCTCCAAAGCAGCCGTCCTTGTCCTCCTTCCGTGGTGGGGAAGACAACCCTCTTTTAAAGTGGCCCTTGTTCACAATGTCAAGGATTGGAGAATCCGGGTGGTGGGAATATGCCCATCTATTGTGATATTCTCTCACATTTTTTATACATTGGAAGTTTTTCGTAATCAAAAGGTCCTTTTAGAGGACCAGCCTCTAAAAGAGGTAAAAAGGCCCTTGTGAGATTGGCAGAACTTTGACTCTAAGTCAGTGCCGGACCACAGCCTTATTCCCGCACCGAGCAAGTAGGTCTGATCGCTGATTTTGTTTCAGCAAAACACTTACGGAGCCTCTGCTGTACACAGGTGTCAGGCCAGCTGCTGGGCGTGAAGACAGCTCTCAGGTTTTGCAGAAGTTTCTTGGATGGGGTTCCGTGTGGGACAGCTCCCAACCTTCCTTCGTGTAGCACCATTTACTGCATCTTCACACAGCTGCTTCCTTGTTGTCCTTTAGGTTCTAGCAAATGTCACCTTTCTGGGAAAGACCAGACCTGTCCAAAAAACATCTCAGCGGGAGCCCTGCTGTCTTGGTACTGGGCAGGTCCATCTGGGGGAGTTGACCCCAGCAGGGGTGCAGAGAAGGCATTCCTGGCCGGTGACGGTGGGGCTGAGGACTGCGGGTTGAGGGGTGAGCATAGAAGGCGCACTCCGTGCGGAAGCCTGTGGCCAGAAGGAGCAGGGGGGGAGCGAGCAGGAGCACCGGCCAGGGAGCTATTGCAGGATCCCCGGGGCCCTGATGGCCAAGGAAGCAGGTGGATTCTTTCTTTAAACAAGGAGGGCGTGTGGCTGGGGTTTTAAAATGGCCTCTGGTTGCCCTGTGTGGTAATAGATTAGAGGCAGAGCCCTTGTGTCTTAGTCTATTCGAGCTAGTGTAACAAAATGCTGTAAACTGGGAGGCTTATAATCAATAGAAGTTCATTTCTTGTTGTTCTGGGGGCTGTGAAGACCAAGATCGAGGTGCTGGCCGATTTGGTATCTGCCGAGGGCCCCTTTCCTCCACCAGTGGTTGTCTTTTTGCTCTAACTACCTTGGCAGAAGGGATGAGAACTCTCTCTGGGGTCTCTCTCATGAAGGGCACTAATCCCCTCGTGACCTAAGCCCCTCCCAAAGGCCCCACCCCCTAACATCATCAAGTTGGGCATTAGGATTTCAACCTGAGTTGAAAGTGGACGCAGCGGTTCGGACCAGCGGTTCGGCTTTGGGTAACAGAGACATCGGTGACCTGAGGTCCTGCAGGTTAGGAGACGCCCCTGCTGCTGCTGTGAGTGGGGAAGGAGGAGGGGAGGGGCCCCCACATGCTCCAGACTCTTTTTCTGCCACCCTCCTAGCCCGGAGGCCCTTTGTCTCTGGTGCCAGCCCGAGCGTGACACTGATTGTTCGAAGGGGTACCCGGCGGCACCCAGGGCTACGGGGACCCAGCCCTCATCCCAAGTGCCAGCTATGCGCATCTCTCCCCGGCCCTGCCTGTGGGCAGTGAAACCTGCCACCGTGGGAGCCTTTACGCCGGGGAGCTGGGCCAACACCGCCTACCGGGGCTGGCCTGTTGGCTGGTCTGGGAGCTGTTTTACAGGGACACTGGCTCCGTGAATCAAATGTCAAGTGAGGATAATGCACTTCCCGCACGGGGGCAAGGAGTGTGTGAGTACAGTGCTGTGTAGACGAGAACTACAGTGCTGCTTGTAAGAGGCTTAGCCTGGGCTTGTCCTGCGGGTGCCCTCAGGGACCAGCGGCCGTCATTCCAGGGGGCAGATTAAAGTCGTCCTTGCTGAGGATGGGAGTAATTGGAAGGCAGTGAGACACCAGGTGTTGGGGGGCTGGGCTGGGGTCTGCCCCAGGTACAGGCAAGAGCAGGACATACTGCCTGTAGAGAATTTAAAACACACACACACACACACACACATTAAAAGTGACTAAATCTCTGTGTGTTGAGAACATCACCACGCGTGACCATCCTAAGGAACATCAGGGATCGCACGTTCTCATTGCGGCAGGAGACGCTGCCCAACCCGCTTTGAAGGATCCTGCGGATATGCAGGTGCATATCCGTGTTATTAAGGACAACCCGCCTAGCCCCTGCTTGGCAGAATTGGGGGGGGGGTCTTGTTACTGTTGTCCTTGAAGAAGAGTCCTGGTGGTCCTTCTGCCCAGGCTCCTATCACTCTCCCCGTCCACACCCATGAGGAAGCTTCTGGAAGGCTCCCCACACCCTACCCCTGCCCCGTCCCACCTTGTCTAATTTGAGGCCATCGAACACTCTCACCCAGCTCTAAAACAAATTCTCTTTCTCTACCCAAAGTAGCAATTTGTAGCCGTCTCATTGTTTTTAGGACCCAGAGGTGTCACTCTTAGGTGACAGTGAATTAGCACATTCCCAAGGAACCAAGTGACTCAACATCACACAAGCTAACCCCAAGCATGTAATGTGACACTCACGGGCCCCTCCATTCCAGGAGATGATTGGCCCATAATCTGGGGACAGCATCACTGGACGCCTTAGAATACAAGTGTTGTGTTGCTCTGGGTGAGTTTGGCCCGCATGGAGACCTCCTTTAATGAATGGGCCTTAGTACCTCCGAGAGGTGGTGGCTGAGAAGTACACATCATGACAAGCCTTGAAAAATCTCTTCTAATTTTTAAAAATTCTGAGAAAGGAAGGAAGGAAGGGAGAGAGGGAGGGAAGGAAAGGAAAGGAGGAGGAGAAGGGAGGGAGGAAGGAAAAGAAAGGAAAAGAAAAGAAAAGGAAAAGAAAAAAAGAAAAGAAAAGAAGCCAATCCTGTTGAAAAGGAAAGCTTCCAATTTGCTAGATTAGGCTTGGTTTTCATCCTTTTTGGCGAGCTCTGCCACTGGAAGGCATTCTTAACATTCTTCAGTATTCTCCTAGTCAGATGGGGGCTTGGGCTTTCTTGGTGTGTCTACCTGTGCCCTCTGTTCTGCATCAAAGGCCATCGTTCATTCTGGGCCTTTGAAGTAAGGCAGTATTTTGGTGTTGGTGGGATTTAGCATTTACTCACCAAAAACACTGAAAACTTCACTCCAGGGCGGATGTGACTCACCAAAATCAAACCCTCCGATATCAGGGTCAGACTCAGTGTCCTTTCTGTTTAGCAAAAGAAAACAAAGCTTTTCTTGGCGTTAGGTTTAAACTGTTGTGTGAAAATTCCAGTGATCGGGTGAAGGGCATTCTAGACATTGTTTTGTCACCACTTAGATTTTCCCTCCTCTGTTAGTTCCTCGTGTGTTCAACCACAGGCATCTGCAACCTGGTTTCTGTTTCATGCCTTTCGTTAATCTTGAGTGTTCCATCATCACAGATTAAGGGACGGCGCCAAAATTTATCAGCTGATGGTATACTGAGATCCTGAATTTCCAATCTCAATCTGAAGTGAGATTTCCTCACTGTTCTTCTCCTCTTGGTGTAGAAAGGCACGGGAATTCACACGTTACAGAAAAAGGTAGACTTTACATTTGGGGAATATTTTCTTTCTTTTCGTTTTAAGTTTGGGGCTTGAGCATCAGCGATACCAGGATATGGAAGTCCCATGGCCAGGCCACCGTTGCCCTAGTGTTTACCCCTCCTGACTTCCTGGAAGGCTTCTTGGGGGGTGCTTTCAAATTGGTTTGATTACAAGGCATAGTAAGGAAAAATTTTACATTTTGGCCCAGCACAACACACACACACAACTCAAAAGATTTTTTTTTTAATTATATAATAGCGTTATTCCTTGTTTGCATGATGCACTTTGATGCTTTCTAAACTCTTCTTTTTTTTTTTTTTTAATTGCAGATCACAAATGACTAAACTGATTTTCTGAATAGAATAGACTAGAATAGGCCTCAAATCACAGTTTGAAAAACTTTTGCTTGAGGTGTATGAGGGATCTGGGTGGGAATGGCCTGCACCTTCCATCCATAAACATGAGTGAGTCAGAGAAGTGAAAGTGGGGGTTGGGGAGTGGTCATGGGGGGTGGTCATGGGGGATAGTCTTTGGGGGTGGCCATGGTGGTGGTGGTCATCGGGGTCGTCATGGGGAATGGTCATAGGGGTGGGAATGGAAAATGGCCATGGAGGGTGGTCATGGAGGAAGGTCATCGGGGTGGTCATGGGGTGTGGCCTTTGGGGGGTGGTCACAGTGGTAGTGGTCATGGGAGTGGTCATGGGGGATGGTCATGGAGATGGTTATGGGGGGTCGTCATGGGGAATGGCCATAGGAGGGGTAGTAAAGGGAGGGATAGTCGTGGGAGAGTAGATATGGGGGGTGCTATTTTTCTTTCTTCTTGACACTTTCTTCCTCCCCATCCCAGACAGTCCATGGCAGCCTGCGTAGCTCCTATGATTTAGCTCCTGTTGGCTTGTTTGGCTGAAAAATGTTCCCATTTGCTCTGCAGTTGCCATTTCAAAGTAGAAAAATCTAGGAGTAATACAGGATCTTTTTTTTTCCTTACAAAATGTTGGGGAGGTGGGGAGAGGAGAACCACACATGCAAACAAATGACCATAGTCTCCTTTGTGTTTTGCTTTGTTTTGATTTTGCAAAGTTTAAGGTAAGTGGCAGATTAGGAAAAGATACTTGTAACACCTAATAGAGGAAAGTTAGCATCCAGAACATACGAATCACTGCTACAGTGTCTAAAAATCCAAAACACAATACACCAAGGATATGAAGAGGGGGTTCCCAAGAGAGTTGTTCTGAAGATTAGATTCACTGATACATTTAAAGATCTTAGAACAGGGCTTAATCCAGAGGATGAGCTCAGTAAATAGTAGCTTTTGTAATTTTTGAAATATCTTTATTGAAGTATGATTTACATAGCGTAAATTTCACTGATTGTAAGTGTGCCATTCAGTGATTTTCAGCAAATGGGCTGAGTCATGCCACCAACACCACTGTCCAGCTGTAGAACATTTCCATCGTCTCAAAAATGTCCTGTGTTCATTGTGGTCATTTCCCTTTGGTCCCAAACCTCAGCCCCAATAGAACCACTCACCTACATTCTGTCTCTATGGGCTTGCCTTTCCTGGAGATCTCAACAAAATAGAATCATACAATACCTGATCCTTTGTGTCTGGAGTATTAACGATGATTGCTTTTAAAAATCAAATCATTATGAAACAAGGTTATTAATGGAATGCTTTTCCAGTATGTTCTTAAAAAAAAAACAATCAACTATATTTTCATCAGCAGTGCATGTACAATGTGAATGCTGTGTGACATTGCGAAGGGAAATGTTACTGTGGTCAGTGAATTACACAGACACACAGACCTTACCCTACATTCTTTGGGAACAAACCTGGTGCGGGTTGTCATAAGGTAGCACAGACCACAGCAGCCGAGCGTCGTTTGCTCCTGGATCACCAGACTGGGGGCAGGAAAAAGGGACTCTTCACAAGACGCATGCCCTGTTCTTTCCCTTTCCTAGCCAAGGAAATCATTTGCTTTTACATCCTCTCTCTTTTTATATATGGAAATGGGGGTGCTAGGATGTTAGGAAATCTGGTGGTGAGTTTTAATTGGGCTCTCTCCAGAAGTTTAATCTGCAATCAGGTAATTCCTGATCTTTACCCATGTGGGTCCAAGTCAACATTTGAGGAAAGGATCCCTTCGATTAAGGAATGTGTGACATCAAGTGGAGAGGGAGAGAGAGAGACATCCGTTATGGCCAAGGCCCATCCCCAAACCGAGCCCAACGAGGCCAGTGAGCCCTGTCTTCCCCTATACTTGGCCCCTGTCTCCTCTGCCTTCCTCTTCCTGTCATTCCCACCTCTTCCTGCAGAGGGCTCTTATTCCAGGGTCAGACCCCACCACCGGTGGGGCTGTTCCCACTGTCCTTCCCAGGAAGCAGCTCCAGGGGGTGGATGAGTGGCCAGGGGTTGGGCAGAGCTCCCTGATTCCTCCTGAGGAAAGCTGATGGTGCCGCTGATTTTTGTTTCTGCTTCAGATGAATTAAAAAACAAAACCGTATGTGAAGACCAAGAGCTGAAACTGCACTGTCACCCTTCCAAGTTTCTCAACATCTACTCGGCGAGCTACGGCAGGAGGACCCAGGAGAGGGACACCTGCGCCTCAGAAGCAGAGCGGCTCCCCCCCTTTGGTATGTGGCTTCATGGGGCTATCTGATTCGGTACCAAGGGGATTGGGACTCTGGATTAGAGGGAAAGTCAAGGGCAGGGGGGAAACACCCCCAGGGTGCCACCTCCTTCTGCCCCACATTCCCAAATTTGTCCATTGTTTAGTTGTTTCACATCAAGTAGTTATTGAGCACCAACTGTATGCAGGATCCTGTTCTATGGGTGGAGGAGTCGTCAGTGACCAACTTCTTCATGGAACTTCATGGAATTTCCAGCTGTGCAGAAAGTGGTCGTGAGAGAATGAACAAATGAAAGGACTTTACTCATTGTATTTCAGGTGCACACAAGTGCTAAGGGGTAAAGCACACTGTGGAAGGGAAATAGGGGAGGCTGGGGTGTGCTTCAGAGAGGCCCGGCATTGCAGGGTCACTGGCATGCTGAGCAGAGACTTAAAGGAGGAGACCTGCGGATACCTGGGGATGGCGTTTGGGTAGAGAGAAGAGCCTGGACCATAACTGGTTGTGTAGGGTTGAGGCAAGCTCAGGGAGTCATTCTTCTTAGGGGTCTGCAGTCTAGAGCCGAGAGGTGATGGCCGGGATGTGGGGCTGGAAGCTGCCCCCATTGAAGTCACCTGATATTATGATTAGTCAGGGCTTCCCAGAGAAACAGAACCAACAGGACAGACATGCATATATTTGGAAAGATTGATGCTAAGGAATTGGCTTACATAGTGGTGGTGCTTGGCAGATCTGAAACCTGTATGATGGGTTGGCAGTCTGGGAACCCAGGTAAGACTTTGGTGTTCAGTCTTGAGTCTGAATTCTGCAGAATGGCAGGCTGGAAGCAGGCAGATTTTCTGTGCTGCAGCCTGGAGGGAAATCCATTTTTCAGAAAACCTGTCTTTGCCCTTCAGGCCTTCAACTGATTGGTTGAGGCCCACCCCCATCAGGAAGAGTAATCTGCTTTACTCAGAGTCTACTTTGCATGTGAAATGTTAGTCCTAGCTTTAAAATATCTTCACGACCACAACTAGACTGGTGATTCATCATAGCATCGCTGAGTTGAGACATAAAATTAACCATCATATACCCCAGTCTCCAGCAGAGAAGCCGCCCGATCTCTACCCTCCATATTACCCAAGAGAATGGGCCCCAAGGGTACATAGCACAGAGAGCTGCACTTGACTCACCAAAATCTAAAATGAGCTCCAAGGAGGGCACATGATGTGATGAGCACTGGGTGTTATATGCAACTAATAAGTCATTAAACACGACCCCCAAAACTAATGATGTCCTATACGTTGGCCAATTGAATTTAAATTAAAAAAAATAATAAAAAATGAAAATAAAATGAGCTCCAAAATGTACTAAACTGCTACACTCACATGTGAAATTAAACATTAATTTTAAAAAGAAATTCGTATAAAACCAATTTTCCCCAGGGGGAAAAAAAAAAGAACATAAAGTGTCTGACTGTCCAGACAAACTCTCAGGCAAGACTAGAGAGAGAATAAAAACCAGTTCAAGAGGAACATGTGCCCCCACCCCCCCGCCAAGGCCCCCAGCCCAGTGTTCTGGGAAGAAAGGCCCCTCAGCGGCTGATGACAGAGGGTCCTCTAAGGGCAAAGACAGCCCGAAGTGGGCATCTGGCTGCACTTGATTAGCTCTGGGCAGAAGACTCCTGTGTAACGGGCTTGGCTGCCAAATGGGGGCAGTGAGGTCCTTGTGGGCGTGGCTTCCCATTGTACATCCTGGCACCACCCCATGCCCCACACCCTGGTGAATGACCTGGGAGTTCCTGACACTCCAGTCTCCCTCGCATGTAACCCTTGCGTGTTTTCAGAACATCTTCACCCACTCCTGCCTTGGTCCCACTGCTGCCTTAGCTCAGGGACCACTGCCTGGTCATCGCAGTCTCCCTGCTCCCCGGCTGGCCTTCCCCTTACCCCCAGGTGGCCAGAGGCATCCGTCTGAAAGGCCAGTGTGATCCCTGTTCTTCCAAACATCCTGCAAGGACACTTCTTATGATCTGGTCTCCTCGGCTGGGTAAGGGGCCCTTGGTGATCTGACCTATTTCTGCAAAAAAGGGGCTCTCCTTCTTGATACTGGGGTGGGGTACCCCATTTCTCAGGCTTGTGAAATCTAACTGAGCCACATGTGTTTGGGGAGGCGGCAGTAAGCTCCATCTGTTTCAGTTGTTGTTTTGAGCAGAAGTCGGTCCGCGAAGCAGACGGACAGGTATGCAGGCTGATTTATGTACCGTGGGTCGCGCTGCCTTAGGTTCCTGGGAAGCTGGGAGTGGGGCTGAAAGGGAAACGTAACCAGCCAAAGAAAATGTTAGCAGACATCATGGCTAAAGCACAGGTTTCCATAGAGACTTCGAGGAATCCTGTGGTCAGCCAGCTGTGCTCATGCCACGAATAACCCTTGTGGCCGCGGAAAGGTCTCTGAATGGAGACCATGCCCCTTGCTCAGGGGTTCAGTTTTGAAAAGTCTGAGCCCCAGCAAAGTCTCCCGGCAGAAACAACCTGCTCATCCGCCCCCATCCCCTCGCATCCCTCACGGTCAAGGGCTCCCGTCCCTCGCCGGTGGACTACACGTAAGGTTGAGGGGCAGGCTGTTCTCCGCATTCAGGAACCGCTGCGTCCTGCCCCTGTGCTCTGCAGGGGAAAGGCTTGCAGGGAAGAGGAGAGGCCCTTGGGAGGGCTCCTCATCCTCAGTTCACCGCCAGCCTCACGCGGAGGCCTGGACTGTGCCCGCCTTCCAGGTCAACATCAAGGCCAGACCCTTGCGCGTGTGCGTACAGACCATTGGCTGCCCGTGCTGACGTATCTCCCCATCTCGCCGAGTGCTGAAAACTCATTCCCTCCTTGGCCCCAGGGAGACTCTACGTAAGGTTTTAACCTGCGCTGAGCGTGTTCTCCCCACCAAGCCGTCCTTTCATCCCCCTTGTGTAAACACACTTTACCATTACCCGCCTTTTGCCCACCTGCCTCCTGCTGACTCGCCCGCACTGAGTACCTCTCACCGGCTCTGCTCCCCGCTTCTGCGCATCTCTAACCTGGACCACCCAGACCATCTCCGGACTGGCCTCTCGGCCTCCCTTCTCCCCGATTCCCTCCCTCAGTCCCTTCCTCACTTAGCAGCCGGAGAGAGATTATTAAAATAAATCAGATCATAATACCTGCCCACCATAATTAGAATCCATCCATTCTCCCACCTGTGGGTGCATCCTCCCTTCCCTTACAAACCGTGGATGGGGCACTGCACCCACACTCATAGCCTGGGGTCTTTGCATAAGCTCTTCCCTTGGCCTGGAATGTTCTCACCCCACCATCCAGGAATCAAGTCAGGCGTCCTTCTCGGACGGGGTTCCTGGGGCTCCCTGCCAGCGTGGGACCTTGTCTCTGCAGTGCCAAGCGGTTCCCCTGTTGGAGTGTCTTCATATCACGGAAACCATCACTTACCTGCCTCAGGTCTCTTTCCCCAGGGGAGGGCAAGCGCTCATAGACATGGTGTCTGTCTGCTCTCCGCAGAATTCCCAGCATCCCGAGCTGTGCCTGGCACAGAGTGGGTGTCCACGTGAATCCTGATGTGTGTGAATGAATCAGAGCCCCTCCTAAGGGAGGTGTCCACACAGGGCTCCCACAGGTGCAGGTCTGGTGTCGTCATGGCTTCCAGCCCCTCATGAGATGCTGGAAATCTGGACTCTTTTTTTTTTTTTTTCTTTTAATGTGAAATGTTCCAACTTTTAAAACAGTGTGTGAGCCAAACAAAACATGCCTCCGGGCCACATCCGGTCCCTGGGCTGCCAGTTACTAAGTTACTATGGCTTGGCCACATTCGCTTTGAAGAAGAGAAAAACGGTATTCATTCTCAACCCTGGGACCTGACATGAGCTTGGTGGGATGACTATCTAGGGCCGGGTGGTCAGGCCTCACCGTGGCCTCTGGAAAGTGATGGGTGTACCTTTCCTCTCGGGCATAAGCTGCCGTCTGGTGGAACCGAGAATTCTCCAGCCTCCATGCCTCCCAGGCAACACTCATGGTGAAAGCCGGCTGGGCCCCAGAGAGGTCAGGAAGCACTGCTGAGCGGGGCTTTTGTTCCCAAATACCGAGAGGTCATTTCCAGTTCTTTCCTAAAGGTGACTGGTGGGATCCCTGTTAGTGTCCTGCACCAGAGCCCTAAGAACATTTAAGGGACATAAGAAAACAGTGCAGCCATAAATGTTACCCATCAAATGAGAAGCTTTTTCCTTCTCAGGGTCTCCTCCAAGTCCTGATATCTGAGCGTAGGACCATTTTTACATAATGGCAATTCTAAAACAGATACATTTGATTCACTTGATACATTTGATTCATACATTTGATTCATACATTTGAAATGTAACTTTATACCCTGGGTGGTCTCCCACGTGTCCAACCAAATGCCAACAATGCCAGTCATTTCTTCATATCTTGTTGAAGGGATGTAGCATATCACGTAATTAACCATGCCCCAGTGGCTGGCGTATTTTACTGCTTCTGATCTTCAAATATTCTAAGTGATGTATGATGAACTTGTGCTCGTAGCATTTTCTTTCCTCCGGGTTGTTTCCTTGGGATAAATTCCCAGAAGTTTTATACTGAAAGAAGGTGTGGGCATGTTTACAATTCTTTAAGTGTATCCCCAGACTTCTTTCCAAAACCTTCTTGTTCCAATTTATGTGTGTAAACAGCGACGTACACTCCTAAGTTTCCTTGCAACTCTGGTAGAGGCATGTATGATTTTTCTTCGTGGTTCCAATTTAATAGATGTAAAACAGTCTTCTTATTTGCCTTTCTTTGTCTATGAATGGCTTTGAACATTTCCCATGTTTTTGTGGCTCTTGTATTTACACTCGCTCCCACTCTCTCTCTAGCCTTTGTCCTTTTTCCCCCCCGGTGGGACCCTTATTATTATTTTTTTCATAAATTTTAACATGACAGAGGAAAGATGTTAATCCTTGACATGCTTTTTCCTGCTGCCAGTCTCCCACCCCACAG